GCCCTTGTTGTCAAGAAGGCCAGTGGGATCCTGGGGTGCATTAAGAAGAGTGTGGCCAGCAGGCTGAGGGAGGTTCTTCTCTCCCTCTACTCTGCCCTAGTGAGGCCCCACCTGGAGTACTGCGTCCAGTTCTGGGCTTGCCAGTTCAAGAAAGAAAGATGAGGAGCTACTGGACAGAGTCCAGAGGAGGGCTATGAGGATGATGAGGGGACTGGAGCATCTCTCCTGTGAGGAAAGGCTGAGGGAGCTGGGCTTGTTTAGCCTGAAGAAGAGAAGACTGAGAGGGTGTTAGGAGGATGGCCCAGACTTTTCAGTGGTGCCCAGCGACAGGACAAGGGGCAATGGGCACAAATTGAAGCACAAGAAGTTCCATCTGAACACAAGGAATAATTTCTTTACTTCAGGGATGACGGAGCAATGGAACAGGTTGCCCAGGGAGGTTGTGGATTCTCTTTCTCTGGAGATATTCAAGACCCGCCTGGACAAGGTCCTGTGCAGCCTACTGTAGGTGACCCTGCTTCGGCACTGGGTTTGGACTAGATGATCCCCAGAGGACCCTTCCAACTCCTAACATTCTGTGATTCTGTGATGGCTGGTGTTTTTGTATTGTGTTGGCAAAAACACAGTTGCTGGGTATCAGTTCATGTGTTTCTCAATGGTAGATTTTTTTTTTTCTCTGAAAAGCTGTTTGGGCAAGTGCAGCAAGTCCCCAGTTGCATGACACAACAATCATAACTGATTGCCTGTGCTCCAAAGAAGCCTGGTCAGATGAAGAAACAGCAATGTGCCTGGCAATTATGAATAAAGTCTGAATGTAGCACTGCATAAGGGACCTCATAGAATTGCTACTATATCAGAGGGACATCTGATTGTTGTGCAGATGTGTTAGACACTGAGCCATTGTGAACGCAACTGAATTAGGGTATTGTAATGAAGGACCTCTCCTCTTGTTTCGTTTTTAGCGTACAGCTATTGCATCACTGCCCAACCGACACAAAGACCATTCAGTGAGTCTTTATTTTTTTCCTCTTTGCTTGTTAAACTAAAGGTTTTCATATTTTCTTTCCAGTACCAAGTTGCTGCAAGGAACAGTTCAAGCCGGCAACCAGGGAAAGTGTTTGGATGCTCGAAGTAAGTATGTTTGTGTGGTTGTATGTCTTTGTTACAGCACTAGCAGCGGAGAAAGTACCCAAGAACATGTGCTTGATGTCTGTAAGGCAGTAGCTAGATAAGTACAGTAATATTTATTATATAGTTTTGTATCAATAATAAGTGATAGTCCTTTGTAACCTTTTTGACTGTGTAATTAATAGATTCTGGTCATCGGGAATTATTCATTCACAAAACAGAAGTGATGAAAGACAAACTAGATGCCACAGACTTTTTGGAAATAATTTGGGGGTTTGACTGGGAGGAGTTGCTGGCATAAAGGAATAAAAAGGAAAACTAAAGGTGGACAATGAATCTGACTTCTCTCTCCTCTTCTGTTTGGGAGCTTTGACAAATTGTTTTCTTGCTTTTGCTTTGTTAAAAGTTAGCTCTTCTGAGCATTATTAGTGTTGCCTTCATAATGTTAAGTGGAAAAAGAGCAAACTACATGAAATGCCACTGCACAGGCTTAGTGATTAATGTCAGATAGGATTTGTAAGGTGCTGTCCCTTGTTTAATCACCAGCTATGAGAGTTTAAATCGCATCGCACCTGAGCTGGGTGTTAGTTTGAACAGTGCAGTCTCCAGCCTGGCATCTATGAAATCCCTGCAGTACATGACCTGCGAGAGGTGGTGAGACCAGCAGTGGGGGCCCTCAAGGTGCCAACGTTTGGGAAGCCACAGGGAGAGATGCGCCTGGCCGAGGTCAGGGGTCCCGGCAGCTGCCGGCGCTCGCTCACCCGTAGCACTGCTGTGGCATCTGTGCTGTTAAACAAGAAATCTTCGCTGTTGCCAAAATGGGGCATAGGATACCCAGTAATAAACCTCCTATTTGCACAGATTCACTACTGACAGTGCTCACTGTACCGTGCCGGATAGCGGTTGTGCCTTTTCCCTTGGCAAGGCATGTGCGGCAGCATCCGCGGTTTGCAACACAGAGTAGAGTTTCTGTACTCATCACTAGCGCTGAAAATACGCGCAGCACTGAAACGATGCTAGGGATGTGTAATGAAGAACTTTTATTTTAAAACATGCCACCGCTTACCTGCTAATGCTTGAAAAGCTGTTACAGTGTATAAATCCTAACCATGGATGTAAGAGGCATTTCAGTTTGTGTTGATACTTTGTTTGTGCTTTGTAGTTTAAAGTAAAAAGTTTCGTGTCTTATGTATTTGAAAGACTTGTTTCACAGTGAAACTAGGAACTTGCTCCGAGTTCTTTAATGCCCTGAAAAAACTTTAATATGTTTGCAGAAATATTTCTTCAGATACATGGTAGACATGAGAAATCATTCAGGGTAGATTCATTGGGAAATAGAAGAAACGTGCGCATTCACTGGCACAGACACAGTAAGAGGAGACTGACGCTGGGAGAAAAAGGGTTAAGTTAAGAGCCGCAGAGCTCAGATTCATTAGGCTGGGAGAGAAGAGTTGCTTTCATGGCAATTAGAAGATATGGAGGGCTCAAGTGCACCTGGAGATTCTCAGGACAAGAACCAGTCTATAATTTAGAGCTGAAAGAGGCTTGTATGCCTCAAGCATGAAGCAATAGCTCTAGCACACAACAGGCATCCTGAAAGCAAGAACTAAGAAGATGTAAAATGTTGTCCCCCTGTGGACACATTCCTTCCCATGAAGGCATTGTAGATGGAAGTGCAGTGGGGCAAAGCCCTGTGCTGAGCCACAGTGGGTTTCATCTCTCGCTTTCTACTCTTGCGTGGAGTCGGTGCCGCTGCTTAAAGCCAAGCTTCGTCACTGTGGTTATACTGGTGTTGTCACAAGTACTTTGAAACAACAGGAAATCTAAAGAAAACTGTGAGCGTTGAGATAGTGCGCAGCCACCAAACGGACATTTCTAAGAGCAGGCTGCACCCTACCTGTCTAACAGAAACTTATCTGACATGTGCAGATTTCCTGCGAGGAGTAACCCTCTCCGTGAAGCAACAGACAGCTTTCAGAGTATTCCCCGCAGACTGCTGCTTACCGTGTAGCCTTTCCTCTCCAAATCCCTTAGTCCTTATGGCCTATTATATGTCAAAATAAAGATCTAGCTATCAGCCTTCTAATACCAGAGATTCATTACATTGCTAGAGAATTAGCTGAGCTGCTACAATTGCAAAAGCCAAATCCGTGTAACATGCTATTATATACTAGCTTTTGCTCAGGAAACCTTCCTGTTGGGTTTCAGTGCCTTTGAGCCTGACAAATGGGTGTATTTTTTCACGGAGTTCAGTTATGTGGACAACTACATGAGGGACGGATGTTGAAACATCTGAGGAATTTTGCAGTTCTCTTGACTCGCTCTCCTGCAGGAGATGCAGATAAGGGGTCTTTTGGCAGTTACAATGCCTTGCTTGATGTATTATCACAAAAATACTTACACCCTAACATTAGAAAGCAAGTCTGGTTTCTGCTGGAACATTAGCTCGGGAATTACCTGTTACATTTCTGTAATTTTGAGATAGGGGAAGAGAAAGTAAATGTATTAAAAATATGTGTATACACAGGTCTGTAAAGTATGTTTGATGATGAACTAGTAATTCATGAAGTGTTCAAGGGAGATCTGGACAAAAAGGCCTGTATGAGCTTTTCTCTTCCCCACACAGCAACAAATGTTCTCTGGTCATTCATGCTGAAGGTACATATAGTTATTTAAACCGGGCAGACTAAAGAAGGGTTTCCTCTCACTTCTTTCTCGCTACATCCCAGCACCAGCACTGATGCAGAATAGGATACTATTTCTAGACAAGTGCACTTTGTTTCCCACTCCGTTCCCCACTGCTTATCTCCTCAAACTGGTCCCCAAAATGTCCACCAAAGACAACCTGAATTCCCTAGTGGCTGCTTTGTACCTTCAGTCAGAAGACTGAAAGAGTACAAAATAGGTGAACTTCTGGGCTGAGCAGAGTGCTTGGAAAGCATTTTTATTCTGTGGAAGCACCACAAGGTCCCCCAAAACTTAGTGGAGGACATCTGTTTAGGAGTCAGTCCTGAACAGGACACAGCTGCTTTATAGCTGGTTTTGATCCAACACGAGAAAACTGAAGGCCTAAATCCTGAACCTAAGAGAGCAAAGTTAACCGAAGTGGAATGTTTGTTTGTGGCTCCATGCTCACCAGCCCTGTTCCTTTCTTAACTTAGGAACTGGATAGCTTGGAGAGCCTTTTATGGTGCTGTCTGAAAATATTCTGAACTTTCGGGTGATATTTATTTTTTCAGTGCCCAATACCAAAAATTATCCCACAGGAGCTCAGCAAAGCAGCTGACTCATCAGGAATGTAACTTTGCTTTTCAAAAAGATAACGTGTGGTTTTGTTCAGAGTTAATAATGAGATCCTTTCCAACACAGAAGCTGTCAACAGCACTGACATACTTTCACAGTTATAAAAACACATAGCTTTGTGGTTGGGGCTTTTATTAAATAGAAACCTCATTTTCTACTGTAATGAGGAAAAGACACTGTTTTCATGCCACTAGCACCTTTTGTGCTCAAAATGTTACAGAAGCCTTTTTTTCTCATTTTATACACAACATGACTGTTCAGAGGTTACAGAATGTTGCTACTTTGTGCTGTGACTGTTGAAGCGTGACAATATACAATAATATCAAAAAGAATGATACCCTTATTTCTAGTTGTCTTTTGCCTTCTGCATTTTCCCTGTCAATGGTGCTTCATTTAAAAGTTGGAGAATGTTTATTAAAGGATGATTCAAGTAATGATTTGAGTTTTGCTCCAGCAGCAAAATCCCCTTTTTTTTTTTTTTTTTTTTTTAGAAGAACATTTTGTAACTGTGAGCGGGACCTACCCTGATTCTGTGCAGACATCCTCAGTATGCTGTCGGGCTGTGGATCTGTTAGGGAAACAGGATCTTTTTCTAGTAGTCTGTCTCTCGCTAGTCTGTTTGCAGTACTGACTGCGAGTGTGATCACTTGCTGATCACTTTAATGTCCAGAAGGTGCTAACAGCAAAGTGGTAATTAGCTCTAGATTTCACCCTGGGGAAGGAAAGGCAAAGGCAGGAGAGATGGAGAAAGGAAGGCAGATTGGAGGAGTGTGAAGGGGGTTGCTGAGCTGCTGTGCTCAGGGCCTCCAGCAGCGGAGTGAAATCCAGGGGGTGGTTGGGCTCCCAGCAACCCATCGTGCCTGCTAGGAGCACAAGCGTGGAGAAAGGAAGGCAGATTGGAGGAGTGTGAAGGGGGTTGCTGAGCTGCTGTGCTCAGGGCCTCCAGCAGCGGAGTGAAATCCAGGGGGTGGTTGGGCTCCCAGAAACCCATCGTGCCTGCTAGGAGCCCAAGAGTAAAGAAAGGCCTGAAAGAGCTCATTCAAATATGGCACTTCTTTTAAGGAGGTGTTTTGGTTGGGGGGGGAGATGCACAGGGCGAGGAGTTTGTTATTGCTGGCTCTTCTGGTTTTGTTTCTTGGTTATGTTTTGTTTTTTTTTTCTAAATCCAAGAATCATCATTTTCCATTATTCCTCTGCAATCACTGGGACTGGAAACTTTGGTTTTCATTAGCTGGCTGCTGAGATTCTTATATAATTAAGTTGCTCCACGATCTGCAGCTTCCAGAAAACCGCCCTATATACTGAGTCACAGTAAACTGCGAGTCGCTGGCAGCACACAGCACGCTAGTGAGGTCAGGTGGAAGCAACACGCATTAGAAGCTGTACTCACAGTAGAACATTGCTTAGAATAATGGCTTCTTGGAGACTTGCTTAGCCTTCGGTAGGTTGTGGGAAGGCCACTGTTGTGTGTGCTGCTGTTGCATTACAAGACAAGGGGACAAAATTAGAGGTTTTCAGTGTCTTGGCACCTAGTAATCTGTTGTCCTGGATATATTTCCTCTGTTGTTAACCCAGGGCTTGCACTCAAGCCCTAATGTTGTAGTCATCTCCATAGTCTTGCACGTTTGTTCCTACCCAAGCCTGGAGCAGGCACAGACCCAGGCACGTGGTGAAAGGTGCTTACACATGGGCAAAGTCGA